GACGCTGCCGTCGCCGTTGTAAGTGACACCGACACCGCTGATTGCGTCCCACAAATCGGGGATCCTCGTTGCCGGATAAGGCCAGATGAGACTGGTCACGCCCACACACCGTCCTCGATCGTAAGAATAAGACGAATAAGGGAATGTGATATACTATATAAATAATCAACATACATGTTATAATATCAATTTTCTCTTTTTCTCTTTCTGAATAAAAGTACCTGAATCGTCTTCAAGTCTGCTTCTCCTGTCGAAACGTGTAGCTGCACCGCCATTCGGTTTGTATCCGCCACGACGACCGCAGCAGGTAGTGTTTAATTGTCGATGCTCTGAGAAAGAAAAGAATAACATCAGATTTGGAGTAGCAATAGTGAACATGAGTGTGGGAGAGGACGTCTTATGCTTTCTCTAACAAATCGTGTATACCTAATAAGTACTCCATCAGAGATACTGTTGTTGTCGTCCACGAACGTACTACATTAGCCCGACGATCGCCGCTCGTGAACTATCGGGGCTCAACCCACCGCTCGTCAGCGTCTCTGTACAAATGCCACCTTGCAGATCTATCCGCTAATCTCTGTGAGATTTATCCTCGACATCTAGCCGATGAACCATCTGACGGCTGTCGCGCTGCCCGACATCATTGATCGTTGCTTCAATCGTCTCGGTCATCTTCAGTCGTCCCTACAATTCTTAAAGTATTGGCCGACAAATTTCTCTAAGCCACGCTTCTACATGGAATGAAGCTCTATATGCATATGTAGACACAAATTTGAAATTTATAACCCAAAAATGAAGGGGAAAAGAGAGAGAAATAAGCACACTTGAGTATCAGGTGCAAAGAACAAAGAAAGAGGAGACAGAGTTCAAGGTCGTACCGGACAACATTTGTGCGTCAAGTGCGGCGTCGCCGGCGAAGAGTCGCACCGCCGCTGTGGATAGATCCTTCAGATTCGGTATGCCCGCGAGGTTTTCGACGGAGGGGCACTCGAAACTGTCCCCGGTTAGCGGAGTTCCAGAGAAGGAGGCGTTGGTTGAGTCCGCGGGCTAGGGCTTCGAAGAGGCAGAGGCGGTCTCCGCTTACACTCGTGGAGGGCATGGTGGAAGAGAAATTTCATCGACAGCGTTTTGGAGGAGAGAAAATGAATGTATTGGTTAGGTTTTGGTTTGGGGTTTGGAGTAAAAAGAACTACATCTATCATGTTTTGTGCCTGAAATCGTGGAGGGATGTGACTGCTTGCGTGTTTGACTGTCTGTAAAAGAATGAGAACGTCTGCAAAACTTCACGAGTAAGAAACAAATGACAGGCAATTTTATAGTGAGTTCAAAATAAATAAAATGGCAAAAACATAAATAAAATGATTGTAGTAAATGGGACACGTGTCGAGCAGCGAAGTAGACGAAAACAGACACGTGTCGAGCAGCGGGATGGCCTCACTTCTCCATATAAGATATAAGATATATATATATATATATATATAGGGTTGGGTTCACATGAGAATGGTGCTCAGTGAAAGAAATGAGAATA